AAAGTTAATTATAACACTTCTAAACACTCCATTAAGGGTGCCCCCACCCCCAACCCCGTCTTCCTCCTCTGCCTGAGGCCCTGTGACTGAATCAGCCGGTTCACTGTGCCCTTCTGAGACCTCACTCTGCCGCTTTTCGTCCGTGCCCAAGGCTAAACTGCCTTGGGTGAGCTAGCCTGATCTCCATCTCCAGCCCTTTCAGAAGCGCGCACAGGAGCCCACGGGATGAACAGGAGCCAGGCAGGCTGCCTCATTCAGCACTACACGCTCTCAGCGGATGACACGGGTGAGTGGCGAGGCCACGAGGATGGGCATCTGGGCCCAGATAGGCAGACACCAGCTACCAGTTACGTGGCAAGATGCATGGGGGTGGAGCAGGGCTAAGGAAGGTGGAGTCGAGCCTGAAGGCCTAGTGATACCTATGTGTGTGTTGGTGGGGAAGGGTCTGGAGGCCTAGTGACACCTGTGGGGGGACAGCGTTCTGGGAGCCTGAACTGTCTAACTGGCCCTGGAGAAAGTGGAGTCCCCTAGAGGCAGCATAGGAGTAGAAGCTAGGGCACTGTCTGTGGTTGAGGTGTTTGAGAGGGAAGGAACAAAGGGTTGCCCCTTCATAGATCAGGACGGGGCCCCAAAGAAGTGATGGAGAAGCAATGAGGAAGGAGGCTCAGGGGCCAAGAGGAAGAACTGTGCAAAAGTGCCAGTCGGGTGTCAGGTGCACAGAGCAGAGACTAGGGGGAGGGATGGGGAGGAGCGAGCTGCCCTCGGCCTCTGGCCTACCCTAGGGCATGCAGGGCCTGATACCTGCTGCTGGAAATGGGGACGAAGGCTGCATAGACCGTGTGTTCCCAGCTAGGGGCCAGGAGGCAGTACTGGGCAGTCCAGTAATGAGCGGACGTCTTCCCTGCTGGGACTGTCATCGATCTTGTGGCAGTAGCAGAATCTGGCCTGGTGTCCTCAGCCCTGAACCAAGCAGCCTTGGGAATGGGATGAGGGGGAGGCAGAAGAAGGAGTTCCTTAGCTCCATTCAGCAAGTTTGGCATTTTCCTCTTTTACTCAGAAAAGTTGGAGGACCTGCCCTCAGCCATTTCTTCCTGGGACAGTCACAGGAGAAACAGGGGTGCCTGCAGCCCCCACCTTCACTCCTCCAAGGACCTAGACAGACACCTGGAATGAGGGAAACACAGGCATCCCTGCCTGCTGGCAGCAGTTCAGAGGCAGCATGGGGTGGGCTGCTTAGCCCTGCTCAGGTCTCACTGCCTCACTGAAAGTCTGAGCCTTAAATCTCCCTTCCATCAGGAACTGGCCTGGAAGGAAACCTCACATCTGTCCCTGAGACCAGCAGGTAGGAAAGGCGTTGCCTGAGTTTAGCTCAAGATCTGGGAGGTGGCAATGCCTGCAGGCCGAGAAAGGCTCATGGGTACACTGGGTTGGCTGAATAGCCAGGTGGGATTCTTAGGCATGGTGTCCACCCCTCCTGGACAGACATCTCCAGGAGGACAGGTCTTGGAGCCATGAGCTCTGTCCTATCTGCTGCAGAACAGCACATGCCTCCCTTAAGGAACCAGAAAAACGCAAGGCCATGACAAAGGAAGTAATTCTGACCCAGAAATCCATTCTGCAACCTTCCAAGTATCTGCCCATAATGCCACCACCCTGATTCTGCTATCCAGATCTGCCTTTGGGATGCCACAGAGTCCCTCCCCTATTAAGCCCCAAAGCCCCTGTCACCCTTAGAATCAGCGCCAGTTCCTAACCAGCCCCTCCTTACATGGCTCTCATTTGGTTTTCTGTCCCACTTCAAGGCCTACGGCAGCCATGCCCCCAACCCTAAGTCTTCCCCAGCTCTGCAAGCTCTTCCCTATGTGTTGCCCATCTCAGGGTGTCCCAGAACCACCAGCCAAAGTCCTGCACTATCACACCCCCGGGTCCCCAGGTCAATCCTCGGCAGATTCCTGCTTCTCTCTATTGACCGGGCCACCATCTCCCCAACAGACCAAGCAGGGCCCCGGAGTCTTCGTCCCACTGTCCCCAGCACCTGAGCCATGCTGACTCCTATGGACTCTCCCAAGGGGAGTCAAAGGAGCATTGCCTTCCCGTCTGTGTGGAGACAACGGACGGCGGCGACTGCGTGTCAACACTCAGAAGCAGAGAGGTTAACGTGCATTTACAGCCAGGCCTGTCGGCTCCCCTCGTCACAAGCTTCTCTCCTCCACTCCTTTCATATCACTCCCTGATAGGGCTAATACCAGTGCACAGAAGCAACCGTGACGTGCTCTCCACGCCATAGTACACAAAGCTTAACTGTTTCTCCCACACCAGGCTCTGGCCTGGCTTTGGAGGTGGATCAGGTAGTCCCACCTGGCCACCGTGCAAAATGGGGTAACTGAGGTCTGGGAAAGACCTCCAGCTGCCACTGTCGCCCGTTCAGGAAGCAGACCAGGGTGTCAGACCTGGACACTCACTCTATTAGTTCTTAGGCAGAGCAAGGGATGCAACAAAGAGCCCCACAGCAGAGTCCTACTGTGTAAACCTCAGCTCGGCCACACGCTGCTGTGTGACCTTGGGCAAGTTGCTTTACTTCGCTGGGGCCCTGATTTTCTACTCTGTGAAATGGAGCTAGCAATAGCTGATCCCTCGGGTCATCAGGGCTGAAGGGGGTGATTCTACACAGGAGGCCACATAGTAGACCCTCAGGAAATGCACGCTGTAGCCACATGCAACACACACACACACACACACACACACACACAACTATTTCCCAGCCAGAATCTCCAAGCCCTTGCGAGTCTCTCTTCTCCCAGCAGGAGCAGTACTCTAGCAGCCAATAACATTTCCACCAAGGGGCTGGTTCCTGGTCCTGGAACAAGAACAGAGGTCAGCTTCCAGCTCTCCAGCCTGGAGCTCACCCTACACGATGACACCCCAGGCCTCTCCAAAGGCTTCAAGGCAGCCAAGAAGAGAGGCCTGTGAGAGGAAGTCTTTGGGGTCCCATGCTTTGCCCCAAACCATCTGATCACACCCTGTGCTGACTCTCAACTCCTCTGTCAAGACCCAAGCCTCCAAGTCAAGTCCCCTTTGAAGACTTCCCTGCATTGGAGAAAGCCACAGCCCACCCCCATGGTCCCTTGGCAATCCAGGCCAACAGGCCACTCAGCTCAAGTATTTGAGCCATACTGCAGGGTCCATGAAGTCTCATCTGTCAAAAACAAATGCACAAAGAAACATCTCACCAAAACTATGGCCACAACTTCACCAAGACAGAGAATAAAAAAGAACCTGCCATGCCAGCCTGGCACACAGTAGGTATCTGGCCTGTGGTGACCTTGAGCTACCCTGGGCATAGAGAACCCTGAAGGAGACAGCCCAGAGCATGGCCAGGGAGCACCTGGCTACCACTGGCCTTGGCTACATACTCCCCTACCCTAGCTTTCCCACGTTCTAGCCCAAATGAGCCTGGATTAAAATTCCTCATTTGAAAAATCAATATTTAAAGAGCCAGGCCTGCCAAGTGGAAGAAAAGCTCTGCTAGTAAATATTTGTCTCCACGGGCAGAGCCAGGACTCTCACTCACTACGGCTATCTACCTCATGGCTGGCCCCTGCTCCACAGATCCCAGGCAGCTGTGCAGGGCACACCCAGGGACAGCAAAGGACTGGACAGTCTGGGGAGCTTCCTACGGAAGGGATCAACACCCCTACTTCTCTCCAGGACAATAGGCCTGTGCACCAGGCTGCATGGGAGCCATCCATCTGCCCAACCCTCCCCAAGGCGGAGAAAGAGCCACACCTCACCGTGACTTTTCCACAGAATCAGAACATACAAATTCCCTACCCTAGGTATTGGGGGAGGAGCGTGCTAGGAGGAGGAGCATGATAGGGGGAGGAGCATGCTAGGGGAGGAGCATGATAGGGAAGGAGCATGATGGGGAGGAGCGTGCTAAGGGGAGGAGCATGATAGGGGAAGGAGCCTGCTAGGGGAGGAGCGTGCTAGGGGAGGATCATGCTAGGGGGAGGAGCATGATTGGGGAGGAGCCTGCTAGGGGAGGAGCATGCTGGAGGAGGAGCATACAAAGGGGAGGAGTGTGCTAGGGGGAGGAGTATGCTAAGGGGAGGAGCGTGCTGGGGGAGGAGCGTGGTGGGGAGGAGCATGTTAGGGGGAGGAG